TGCATACAGGCCAAGACTAGAATCTAAGTAAGATCTATTAAAATACATACCCAAGTTAGCCATTGTTGAATTACAATTTAGAAAACTTTACCATCTTTGAGGAAAAAATTGATAAATAAAATCCAGACTGCCTAATTGTTTTTTTTTTAATAGTAGAAAATATCAGTGTTGAAAAAAGTCTTATTAGCTTACTTAATTTATTAAATTTATACTTACATTATTATAATAAGACATTATCTCTATAATATAAGAGATGAAACTTTTTCAAAAATTATATCAACAAAAATAAAAATGTGACACATGTCAAATGACAGCCCACATACATAGACTATCAATCGATGAAAACAAATCAATGGATGACGTCACGAAATCGTACATCGCAGGCACACACATATAATAATGTACATATTTTACAAAAGTATAACTAAAAAATTTTTCATTCATTATGTGCAACTAGGCAAAGGTGCGCATTATGGCACTTAATGCAAAATATAATATTAATACCCCCTTTCAACTACTATGTAACACCCACTATTTGCTATTTATGGTATGAGTCCCATGTAATAGAGGGTGAGTCTATTGCCATACACCGAGCGCAATTCCAGACTCCAAGTTAATAGAGTTTTTTTTAAAAACCCATTCATACTTTGCCTACTTAGGTAGATTATAATTATATTTATACTATGTAATTGTAGGTTTGTGGTTTGCCTGCATTCCTATGGTCACGACATATTTTATTTACCTCTACAAAATATGTACCTAATAATATCAATGCAAAATATTGCTTTAACTAAAATACAAAATAATTATGAATGTCATTTGTTTTTTAATAAACAACCCAAACGTTTTTTTTTCTTGAATGGCAACAGAGTTCCAACAGTGTTGCCGACTATACTGCCAGTGTCGAGTGTACCCAAAGGTTGACTTATAAATAATCCTAGCTTCATTGAGTATTCTATTTTGATTTTGACATTAAATAGTGGATTGATTAAAATAATTACTTTAATTTTAACTTAACCTAGTTTCAGCCAGCAGCTTTGCCTGTTGTCCTGTGAGATGTGGTCTAGTGTTAATCCAGACCATAATATACTCGTTTCAAATCTATCTCGACCCCTTTAAACTTGACGTGGTTAATTAATAAACACAAACTTTCCCACTATAGTACCTATTAGTAAGATTTTTTTAAAAAAAAAGTCATGATACTAGAAAGAAAAGTCGTTTTTTATCTATACTAAGATTATAAAACTGAAGAGTTTGTTTGAACGCGCTAATCTCCGAAACTACTGATTCGAATTGAATAATTCTTTTTGTGTTGGATAGTCCATTTACCGAGGAAGGCTATTGGCTATAAAACATCACGCTACGACCAATAGGAGCTGAGCAGAGCGTGTGAAATCGCGCGGAAGTAGCTAGTTGTCAATATGACTGCATTATAATAATTAGACTAAAGAGGTTGTTTATTTAATTCACACATCACGCTTATTTCTTAAATAGAAGCATGAAATAGTTGCAATAACCATAAAATATTACGCCACAATATCAAAGTATTGATTTTACGCTTCCATTGCTTATGTATGTACTTCAATACATTATGTATGTATTATGTATTGATTAGCATCAACCTACCTACATACATAATGTTGTATGACACTGTTCCGTGTTTTGTTAAAGTCAACCCTATGTGTATAAATTTAAAGTTTATAATTGTTTGTGGTTATGGTACATAGTTTAAGAGGTATTCCACAAAACGCACCTGTTTTAAAACGCACCTGATGAAACGCACCTATTTTATTCCACGAAACGCACCTACGATAAATTTTCGATTAGAGATGGGATGCTAACTGAAACTATCGATAATAAGTAAAAATGTTATTTTATACAATTTACAAAAATGCTTTACTCCTCGACCATAGAGTGTTTTTTTAAATAAAGTATTCCTGGTTAGTATGGACGAAAACCAAAACCGAAAGTATTAGTACAATACTCCCTTAATCTCTGGCGATACGGGGCGCGCGTGGCGCGGGAGCACTATTATGCAGGTCCTACTGCTTTGATGATGTGATTATGATAATAATGTGATTATTACACGCATATCATTTCTATTATACCTGTGCGTTTTATTTATTATTAACATCATATTAACTTCCTCTTTGAACCCAAAATAACATTCGTCTCTGAATAGGTACACATTATAGTGCCAAAAGCAAAAAGATATTTTTCTGTCAATTTCTCACTTTTGGTTAAGCAACTTCGATGATATCGATGTACAAATGATTTCTTTAAATTATTATCGATATATTTTATTATGTTTACTTAATTCTCTTCCCTAATTTTAAACATGGGTGCGTTTCGTGGAATAAAATAGGTGCGTTTCATCAGGTGCGTTTT